GAGGCAGCGGGCGTTTTGTGGCCTGGTCTAGAGGGAGAGACGAGCCGCAGTTCGGGAGAGCACCTCCCGGCCAGGCCCGTCCCAACGGCGCCGCGCTCCCGTCCCCCAGGTACGACGCGGGCAAAGACGGTTTCATCGACCTCATGGAACTGAAGCTGATGATGGAGAAACTGGGAGCGCCGCAGACGCACCTAGGGCTGAAAAACATGATCAAGGAGGTCGACGAAGACCTGGACAGCAAGCTCAGCTTTCGGGAGGTGAGAGGCCGGGACGCGCAGCTCATGGGGGAGCGGGTAGAGGGACCTGCAGACTCGTCCCTGGCAGCCGGAGCTGCGTCGCTGCCCTATGTCCGGTGGGACACAGCGATGCCTGGACGCCTCTTCCTTAGCTGGGAGGTGACACGCGGGTGTCTCTTTGCTCCGACCCGGCGTGTCCGGGAAGACAGCAGCAGAAGAAACGAAGCGGTCCGCAGCCGGGATGGGGCTGGGTCCGACGCTCCTTGGCAAGCGGTGGGAACCGGGGGGAGATCTGGCCTCTGGGTGGTGGTGTGGCGCGGAGCGGCTGGGGCACCTCCGAGAGGGCAGAGGGCCATGTGCCTTCAGGCTAGGTCGGGGACATGGTGACCGTGGCTGGGCCGCTGTCCCTCTTTGATTGATGCCGAGGCGGGCTGAAGTTAAAACCGAGGGAGGGAGCGTTTGGTTCGGAGACATGGGCAGAGGTAACCTTGGCAGCTTGTCCTCTGTTGCAGTTCCTCCTGATTTTCCGCAAGGCGGCGGCGGGCGAGCTGCAGGAGGACAGCGGGCTGCACGCCTTGGCAAGGCTCTCCGAGATTGACGTCTCGACGGAGGGGGTGAAAGGAGCCAAGAGCTTTTTTGAGGCCAAGGTAAGGAGAGCGCAGCCCTCGGTCGCTCCCCGAATTAGGACAGGGAAGTGCGACGGTGGCTTTCTGCTGGCTTGCTGGAGCAGCGGGGTCATGGGAGCATATGGGCAGGGGGCTGGGTAGGTGCTCAGGGGCTGGGTAGGTGCCCCAGGGCTGGGGCGAGAAGTTGGCAGAGATGTCAGCAGCAAGCCACGGGTGCTGTAGGCTCTTGGGAGGAGGCTCGCAAGAACAGCCGCGTGGTGGGTTGGGGATCTCCCCTGGGCTGGCTCAACGCCGCGGCATTTGCAGGTCCAGGCCATCAACGAAGCCAGCCGCTTTGAGGAGGAGATCAAGGCTGAGCAGGAGGAGAAGAAGAAGCAAGCGGAGGAGCTGAAGCAGAGGAAAGCGGCGTTCAAAGAGCTGCAGTCGACGTTCAAGCAGTGACGGGCCGCCGGGGCGGTGCCGGGAAAGACTGGTCCATGGCACGGCCTCAAGCAAAACCGCTGCCTGGGACGTGCCGGGGACGTTGTGTGTGTGAAGTGTCGCCGGCTGAGTGGACCAACCCCCGAGCAATGTGTTGTCTGTGAATCCCCGCCAGGCTGCCGCCGGGCTCGTTGCCCGCCCAGTGTCAGCGCTGCCTCCTGCCCTCCCCAGCGCTCCCTTTAGATGTTCCTCGTGGAAACGTGTGTCTGCCGGGTGCCCGGCCGCTGTCCCCCGCAGCTTTTGCACACCGCCGTGTCGCACTTCGCAGCGGCCTCTCTCAAGGTTGACCATGGCTAAACAGCTCCGCGCCTCCTCCTCGGCGCCAGGTCCACCCCAGAGCCGTGCCATGGTGGCCAGAGAACGAACAAGACAGGAGACAACGGCGTGGAGCAAGGGTGGACCTGGGAGGGAGGCCGGCGCGGAGACGTCCCCGGGGGGTGTCGTTGTGTTTTGCATGTGCTATGATTTCTTTTTTTTTGGGGTGGACATGCCCCCCTGCATCTCGCCGCGGTGCGGCGGGCAGGAGCGTCGCCGCCGCGGTCAGCTGGCGCTCGTCGGCTCCCCCGTGTGTTGCACAATGTGATGTTCGTCCCCGAAGCCGGTCGCGCTGTGCATGAACGTACCCTCCCCGAGCGCGGAAAGCCCTAAGCGTTGGTGTTCGGGCGCGGAGGAAGGCAGAGCACGGAAGCGGCAGAGTCGGCGGTTGTGTGTCCGGTGTTGATGTTTCCTCTGCAAACTGGATGAGGATCTGTACCACTGTTAGGCAAACCCACCGCTTTTCTTGCTCCTCACCGGGAAAAGCAAAAGGTTTGCTCGATTGCTCTTAGACTAACAGTTTATTTTGGTAAAAGATGTGCGAAGAGGCCACTGAGGGGTAGAGAAGTTTTATTTATTTATTTCTTTTTTCATATTGCAATCGGCCAAAAAGGAAAGTATTATAGCAGCTAGTTTCTTCCATTGGTCTCGTGATTTTCCATGTAGGAAATGTTTCTTACAGATGAATTTAAAGAGGTGTGTTTTCCTCAGAAGCGACTTCCATTCAGTGGTACGGGTGTTTTTTTTTTTTTTTTAATCCCAAATAAATATTATATTTCCTAAGCATGGTCTGTGCTTGAGACTCTGGGGCCTGGGGAGAAATAGACAAATAAAGAGGGTTTTGCTCCTCTCGAGAGCTGAACCGTCCGCCGCAAGTGCCCGGTCGGGACCCTCGGGAGCCCCTGGGCGCCTGTGGAGCAGGAGGTCGAGCCCTGCGGTGGTCCTGCACCCAAGAAGCGGCCAGGTCCGTGGAGGAGACCCAAGCGGTGGCTCCTGGGGAAGGCTAGGAGCAAGCTGCAAGCTTTCATCCTGGGTATGGCTGAGGCCGCGGAGGGGAAGGTCTGCAACCGTCCCCAAAACGTGGTGCCCCACGCAAGGTGACGCCCCTGCTGGAGCATGGCGAGAGGGGCCGTTGGTCTCTGCCATGCTGGTGTGGCATCGTGTTACTCTGTTGCAACCAACAGCCCGCTGGCCAATGTCCTGCAGCAGGCTCTGCTGCCCGTGGTGGACCAGGCCACCAGCACACAGAACGACTGGTGGGGCAGCCTGGTGAAGAGCACCGTGGTGTGCGCTGGCGGCATCTCGAGGTGCAACATGCATGCCCGCTTCCCCGGGGGAGCCACACGAGGTCCTCCTTCGGGCACTCGGGGACCAGGTGTCGCAGAGGGCAGGTTCAAGCTGTCCCCATCCAGGCAGGGGGATTCGGGTGGCCCCTTGAACTGCGATCTCTGCGGGGTGCATGGCATCGTCAGCTTCGGCTCCTCGGTGGGCTGCAACATGCCGCGGAAGCCCACTGTCTTTGCCCGCGTGTCTGCCGACATCACCTGGATCAATGAGGTGGGTGCCACCATGCTGCGAGGGTCTCTGCCACTTCAGCTGCTGGTGGGTCTCCCTACATGTCCTGCCGCCTGGCTTTTGCAAACATCAGCGCCAACTGAGGACGCGGTGGGCGAGTACTGTCCCAGGATGCCACGACAAATTTGATAAAGGAAATAAATGCCTCTCACTGCCCTCACTTGTCCCTGTGGTTATTTGGGGTTGGTGCCTTGGTGCATTCCCTCGTGTTGCGGGATGGCTGTGGCATTGGGTTGTGTCCTCCAGAGGAGCTGCACTGGGGCTGGGGATCTGGGAAGGAGGGGACAAACCTTTACCCCTTGGTGACCGCGGCTGGCACCTGGTCCCTGGGGCAAAGGAGGGGGACTCCCGCCATGGCAAGGCCCGACCAGGATGGGGGACATCTGGGGACATGATGCTGCCTGTCCTGGGCAATGCGGGGAAGGATGGCACTGTGGGTCGACAAGACGGCGCATGCAACGGGCTGCGACGGCTCTTGAGGCTGGTCTGGGGCAGCGTTGGGTGTGGGTGTCAGCACTGGCAGGGACAGCCCGAGGAGTTGGCAGGGTGCACGGAGCTGACGTGGGAGGCCTTCCCTCATGGACCCTTGGACAGACTGTAGTAAAAGCTGCAAGTCATTGAGGGTTCTTGTTCTAGACTTTCCTCCAAGAAGTCTCACAGCTGAGGACCTTGAGGCAGTGATGGCTGCTTCACAAGCCAATAGTCCATAGTTAGAGGTTGTTATGTTGTTACTGCATTTCTGTCCCGAGAGCGACTCCTGAACCTGTAAGCAGTGATATGGCATGACATATGGGACCTCTGGTAGGGGATGCACAGGTATAGCAGGAACCCGGCTGGGTAAGGCCTTCTTGGAAATATATAAGCATCACAGTCGTATGTCTTCCACCGTTACAACATTCACCTAATGGTCTACAGGTGTTTTTGATTTTTGGTTTTTTTTTTTTTCAATGGCAAGACCTCTCCAAAAAAAAGCCAAGCTATAACTGTAGTATGTTTTCAATCACACAACTGAAGATACCGTACTTTTAGGAAGAAGGACTTTGTCCTTCAAATGTCATGGGAACATAGGACCAGCAACCTGTACACTTCTTTTAGACCTTTCTATCTTGAGCAGGACTTGATGACTCCTTTTCTGTATGACCAGTATCGTGCCCTGTTATTTTAAGCATATGGGAAGATACTGAAGCCCTCTGGGTCTTTGTAGACTCGAGCTGCAGAAAGCACATCTGCAGAAGTTGGTTCACATGAATAAAAGAGGAAACCAGGGAAGGTTCCCATCACAGATGTGACATATTGTCCAAATCTGAACTCACAGGTCTTCTACTAGAGGCCACTTTTTATACAGACCTAGAGAGGTCTCGCGGTGCCTTTTACTGAACAGCTACACGAGCAATGCTGAAGGTATTTTAACTGTAGAAAAAAAAGTGATTGTAAAGGCTTTTACAATTGTAAAGGCTTTTACAATCATGCCTTCATCATCTTGCTTCTTAAGCACTAGAGTTTTTTGTACGGCGCGCTCCAAAATACCATAAAGTCTGTAGCTATAGCTTTCTGTACCCACCATCTAGCATGACTTTTGGGGCTTTTGAAACTGGTAGCAAAAGTGTGTGTGTGTGTGTGTGTGTGTGTGCGCGCGCGCGCGCGCACGCGCGCGTGTGCAAAGGTAAAGTTGTCATAAGTGTGTGGGAAGTCATGCAACAGCCTTGCGGGATCACACAGGGCCTCGGTATGATGAGAGAGTGGTGGAGCTGCACTGCACTAGGTCGGTGTGAACAAACTCCCATGCCGCAGCTGTGCAGCCACAGGAGAACCCATCAGCGTGCGCCGGGCGAGCGCCGTTGGCGAAACAGTAGAACTGATATGAGCAGATCATGCTAAGGCTGCGCAGGACGGTAGCAAAGCTGCAAGGTCTGGATGTAGCCTTTGGTTGGGTTCTGTCATCATCATTAAGTGGTAGCCCTAAGTGAAATGAAAGCGGCTATATGAGCTGCAGCTGGTGACTGTCGCTTGCAGACGCGAGGCTTGGACCAACTCTTGTCTGCTGAGGCTTGTTTGAAACTGGCACAGTGTGAAGCGTGACAGTAGTAATGTGTGGTAAGGCATGAGTTAGTTACAGACAAGTCTTGTCCACTGAGAACTGGTCTTTTCAGTTTTCTCCCAGTTTAGGAACTTGGTTAACGCTGAGGTGTCAGACTAAAAACTGAACGGTAACTGTCTGGTTTGAGAGTTGGGCCAGTACCTCTGTAGGAAGCTCAAATAAAGCTTAAGAGTGTCCACAGTATCACAAGTCCCTTTTTTTTTTTTTTCACCAAGTCTCTTTAGAGCCCACATGGGAGGTCTTGGTACAAGGGGCAGGGCTGGAGAACCGGACTAGGTGTAGACGACACTGCTGCTTTCGGAAGAGGAGTTGGCAGTTTGCCAGAACCTAAAGCTGCACCATAGTGATGTGTGGAAAGCGTCAGTCTGAGGCCTTGCTGTAGAACAGCTAGTTGGACAGATCGTATGGAAGGACGACCTTCCATATTAATGACTGTGCACGGGGAAGTCTGCCAGTATAATTTCTGGACCGCTCTTAAGAGCCCATGAGTGTTGCGGGTGACTATCAGACTGCAGGCAGTGGGTACAGCAGTTAGCGCACGGCTCCAGTTTTACTGGACAACTTGTCTGCGGAGAAGTCCTAGGGAATACGAGCACGTCCCAGCCAGAAGGAGAGGATACCTGGAGCTGCGCTAAGGTATCGGACAGGAGGCGCTAAGAGTGCACACATGCAGGCCACAAAGCTTGCATAACTGTGTTTGAGTTTTGAGATGTACAGATGTAGGAAGGGAGGAGGACTTCCTCAGGCGTGAGGCTGGCACACGTCCTGTTGCATCGGAGTTGTCTACGTACGTCTTTAAATTCAGGATGCAAGGGCTGTTCCTAAGGTATGGGTCAGCATGTAGGCTTTAATGCCTGCACTTTGTACAGCGAGTCAGGCAAGAAGGAATAACGGCCGTGCGCTGGGACGTGGCATAAGTAGGTACCCAAGAAAGCCCAAGCAAGGAAGCTGGAGCTGAGCATCTGCAAAAGAAGGTCCACGACTGTTTAAGGGCAGATCGACAGTTGTATGACTGTCACCTTCCAGAAACCCATTTCCCTCCCCCCTTCCATCGTCTAATGCCCGAGGTTGGACCAGCGAGCCCACCCTTGTTCAGATTCGTCTCACGTCTGACCATAGTCTAGGGAGGAGACGAGGTGGGCTGCAGGTGCAGGAGTCACCACACCAGGAGGTAGAGGTGCTGCTGCCTGCAAGCGCAGCCAGGGGTTGTTGCACCCTGAGTCACACGTGGACTCAGGACTCGTGCCTCGATAAAAGTAGTGTGTTCAACCAACTGGAGTGAAGGTGTAGAGAGACCTGCCGGAGGAGGGATGTAAACAGGGACCCTCGTGCGGGGGTCGGGCCAGCATCCTACCACTGTCATCGCAGAAGGCTGACCTGCATTTTAGAGCTGCTCTACAGCCGGGAAACGGGACGTGCAGTGCCACGTCTAAGTAGTGGCACGATGGGAAGGGGTCCACGTGCATGATGCAAGGGCATAGTTGCACCTAGACCACTGAGAGCAGAACTGCAGCCAGGCGTCCTAACAAGGGGGGACGGGTGTAACTCAGTATAATTGTGAAGGATGGTGACATACTATGTATGCAAGTGCATAGGAAGGTGTTTAAGATGTGTCTCTGTCTTAGAAGTCCTTAGTGTAACTCAAAGATGCAGATGTAGGTTTAGGAAGTTTTTATTGAGAGTTTTGCACCTGCCTCGCCGTTGCGCTTGGCATAATCAATACCTGTAATTTAACTGAGCCCAGAGCAGCAAATGGCTTATAGACAGTGTCATTCAGACGATGGTTGCTTACACAAGAAAAGCAGCTTTGATCCAGAGTTAGTGAAGACTTAGGCTTCTCAACACCTTTTGTGGGTCGGAGACGTCCATAGGAAGAGAGCGACGCCGTAGGGGAAAGTGGAGCATAAGGATTTTACGTCTCGGCAGCCCGTTCTCCTCCGTGCCTTGTAGCTGCAGATGCGCACACCGTGGCCATGGAAGTCCATGTGGCTTTGGGCCACATGCCAATCTTCGGGAGAGGGGCAGTTAGCTTTAGGACAGTGCCACTTACAGTTTTCACCTACAAGCGGTAACGTCCAGCTCTGGAACGGAGATGGATCTGTTGGACGTACCTCTCTGAACCTAAGTGCAAGTGCTGTTGAATGGGGATCGTTCCCTGTTACTTGGTGAGAAGATGGATGGTCTCCTGCAGAAGGCACCTCTTGCTCTCTCTCCTGCAGGACACAGGTTCTAGGATTTGCATCAATGTAATGTAAGTATGCCAGGACTGACGGGGAACCTACCCGAGGACAGCGTCCTCCAGTCTATGTAGGAGAAGCTATCTGTGAAAACTTTCAAGGCTTTAGAACTTTGTAGGGTTTAATTGTGCAGTCCTAAAGCTTTTAGAGGACTCATAGTAGCATTTAGAAACTATAAACCCTTATAGTCTACAACCCTTCATAAAAGTTTGCAAGTTAGACCTGTACATAGACTTCTCCAGGTTTATAAAAGTTCTACCTTTTAAGGATTATAATATTATAAATGTCACGTGGTGGAAACCATAAACAACAAGTTTACAAGAGGAGCAAAACATCCACGACCGAACAGCCCCACGTGGTCCCCAGGACGAATTCTGCTGCTTCCCTATCTGCTCACCACCTACCTGACCAGGATCAGGTCTTTTCCTCCTTTTCTGCTTCAGCCCAGCGTTCCTGGTGTGGAGCACAGCAGTAAGAAGCGTTGTGCCTGTGCCAGGCTCTGTTGCACCGGTGTTAGGATGCACAAATACCGCAGCACTGGGGCACAGGGACTTGCGGCTTGGTGGTTCCTGCCCTCTGCTCAAGGGGAGAGAGGCTGAGGGCAGGAGAGCCCAACATAACCACTCTTCCCTTCTGGTTAACAGACTCTCCTAGCCCTCCTGCGCTAACCTTTGCTGCCTCCCAACACCAGCATCTCCTGCTTTGCTGCTTCTGACGGCTGTGGGGGAACTGAAGCCTCCACATTTGCAGTAGAGAATCTGCCCCAAAGCCAAAAATGGCCTAAACACGTGAGGAGGGCAACAGGGCCACATGGGACAAGCGCCGCCTTTTGTGCCTTGAAACTGTGGTGTGCCCACGGGGGCCGAGCTCTGCAGCACCGATTGCTCCTGACGGACCGCGGTGCAGAGACCACGAGGAGGCTGGTGGAAGGGGGAAGCCTCCTTGCCTCGCCGGGAGCGCCCAGTCCCCCTCTGTTCCCTGTGTATGTGCTCAGATCTCCTGCACGCTCCTCTGAGAGCGCTCCCATCTTCTCTGTTGCTTTCTCAGCAAGGACACACGTCTATTCCCCCTCGCGAGCGCTCACAACCCAAGCATGGACCTCTGGGTGAGTTCAGATCCTCTCCAGGCACGTTCATGATTTTTGAGACCCCCTCCATTCCTCTCCATGAGCGCTCACCTTTCCTCGCCTCCACCTCAGGCGAACTGTGATTCCCAGTACTCCCCTCCACCCTCAGCTCTCCTCTGTTCCCCTCCGTGCATGCTCAGTCTCTTCCACAGTTCCCTTCCAGCTGTGTTCAAATGCTCTCCTTTCCCCACAGTACATGCTCTGAGCCCTTCTGTTTCCCTCTTTGCCTGCACAGATCCCCTCCCTTCCCTTCTGCACGGGATCCAATTCCTTCCATTCCCACCCAAGCACACCCGTTTGCCCTCCCTTCCTGTTTGCGAGCGTTGGGATCCACACCACTTCCCTCTCTGAACATTGAACCTCTCCTTTCCCCAGCACGCACATTAACTCCGTTCTTTTCTTTCTGGGCATGTTCTCATCTCCTTCCACCTTTGCTCACCACTGCTCTCTAGTCACATTTTCAAGCACTCAGATGCCCTCTCTTCCCCTCCATTAGCTTGCACAGAGAAAATGGAAGGGATAAGAGCGTACCAAGAGGGGAACGACAAGCCTCTGAGCACAGATGGAGGGCAACGGAGAAAAGTGGGCGCACAGCAGGCAGTGGTGGGGATCAGAGAATGCATAGGAGAACTTGTCCAACTTTTATTTACAAAGATGGGAGTTTGGACTGGACACAGAATTAGGATTCAGTGGAAGATGTACTTCACCGCTCCCCTCTTTTCTTTTACTGAATTGATCTGCGAATTTCAACCATTGAGCTGGATGGGGGATCACGCACACACACACACACATACACGTATCTACAGCTGGGTAAAGTTAAAAATAGCCATTGAAGAATTTAGTTGAAAAATATTACAGAAATCACTGAACAAGTCATTGGGCAACTCTCTCCCCTGCTGTCCTTGGCATCCTGTGGCAACCGAAGCCCAGCCCTTGCAGTCCAGCTAGTGTAGATTTAACAAGGGTCTTGCCCATTTAGAAGTTCTCAGAGCCGATGCTCTGACTCTCCTCCTGCAATTGGGAGGCTGTGGTGTCTCCGGGCGAGGCTACGTTTAAGTACCCGATCTCCGAAGCCTGAGAAGGAGATAAGCAAAAGGAGGACTCCTGGCTTTCAGCGCCTTCTTCAGGCTTGGCGTCCTGCATGGCCTTCAGGGTGCTGAGGGAGTCTGGCAGTTCCCGTGCCGGGAAGCTGAAAAAAAATTTCCTCTCTAAAGTCGCTTTGCAAACTGTATCCACCTCTCTCTGCCGCTCGCGCAGCCTCATTGCTCCTCCCGACACCTCTGCAAGGCAGTGCAGGGCTACAGTGAATGCGTTTCGTTTGGGCTAAGGCTCAGACACTCTTCCTCCAGGCAAGTAGCTGACAGCCCCCATCTCCCCCAGAGCACACTGACTTGGGACAGACTATCCGTGGCCCTCACTGTTCACAGTACCCATCAGCACCCAAAGGCTGTGAGCAGGCCATCGCGCTGGGCCTCCAGCCAGAGCAGAGAACAGAGTTGCAGAGTCTCTGCCTTCCCCGCTAGCGTGCTTGACTCCCTCTTGCCCATTTTGGCTCAGATCCTGGTGCTCCTGGCTACACTAGAGGTTGAGAGAGCGCTCAGGCACTCTCCAGCCCCATAACCCACTGGTCAGGAGACCTTCTGATCACCCCATCAGTTTCATAGCATCTTTTTAATACTGTTTTTCCTGTAACTTGAAAAAAAAAAAGACCCTTGGGGGTAAAAAAGGGTGGAGCAGCATTTGTTTTGACAACCAAAATGCCCTGCTTCTCCCTTGCCACAAGCAGACAGGAACCCCCTATCTTCTCCTTTCACCGCACAGTACCTGACACGGGAAGATGGCAACACCTTACTCTGTAGCTGGCGTTCAGGGAAGTTAACACTCTTCAAGTCCTAGAACAAGAAACAGAGACTTTCAAAGGAGCAGGTGCATGTCAGACTCTGAATTTCCCCCGAATTTCAATGTATAGTCTTGGTCTTCAAAGGGCCCCCAAGCTCTACAGAGATATGAATAAGAGATTTGTCCTTTGGGTCTGAATCTAAACTGAAAAATAAGCCCAAAGCAGCTCAGGTCAAACAAACAGAAAAAACCAGAACGCAACAAAAAACAGTTGTTTCTGCCTGGCCCTGAACAGCACAGTGTTTTATTCGTAACTGTTCATTTCCAATTTGAAAAATTTGAAAAATTTCACCTCCAATTTTCAAAATGTGCCGACATACCCCAAATCTACCTGTTTTATTTGGATAGTGTTGAAACAAAACCTTTGGACTTCCCTGGATTTTTCTCCATTTCTCCCCGCCTGCGAACAAAGCTCTTCATGATTTTGGCCAAACCAAAACTGTGTTTTTAGGCAAGGAATATCCTCATCCAGTACAATTTAGTCAACGCTGGTCAGCTTGGTCTGAGGTTTTAATCTTATGAGTGTAACATACCTAAAACTCCCAACACACTGTTCTAAGTTCTCTCTTCTAATTTTAAAGCTAATTTTAACAGAACCAGGCCCCATTACTAAGGTCTTTTAACAACTGTTAGACTTTAAAAGTGCCAAAGTGAAATCTCTGGCCCTGTGAAAAAGAACCTCATCTCCCAGCAGCTCTGGGGACTGGCTGGCCTGGCACATATATTGAACTTTTGGGGTCAAGGCGGCCAGCTCCCAGAAAGTCCCTCCACATCGACAGAGCTGTTGCAGTCCCCCGTGTGCTTGCTGTTCCTCTCCACATGATTTTCAGGGGAGCAAGGGGCCAGTTAGTCTTTTCTCTGGCAGCTGAGCTGCAGCGACAGACACCGACCCTCACTCGCAGGAGACACCAGCTCCTGCAACCTGTCTGCTGAGAACAGCCCCGCTCACTGCGTCTCACCTCCGTGCTGGGAGCGGGGATGCTCCTCAGACCGCGCTGTGAGGCGTGCACGTGGCCGGAGAGCTGGAGTTTGCTCTCGTGCAGTCGCACACTCTCCTCGTCCGGGATCTTCACTCTGAGCATGTCACACACAAACAAGGCACAAGCTATTTCCCTTCCAGCCACACTACATTTTCGAAGGGGTGTTTTCTTTTTAAAACCACAGAACCTTTTTTCCACAGTCCTTGGCTGTATGGCAAAGCCTTTGATGGGGAAAGGGCCTGATTACATCCTACAGCAATTTAAAAGCCACAGTACTACTGACTGGGGCACAATTCAGGCTTTCCTCCCCACACAAAACAAGGATTTCTTCAGAGAAAGAGGGGCATAAAACTGGAGAAAGGGTGGGAAGAGGTAGGGTCCCAGGGGCATCCCATCCATCCCGGACATCAGTAAGTGCCTACCTGCTCCAGACCTACCTGCTCTGGAGGGTGGCAATCATAGACCTGTCGCTCCAAGGCATCTCCTCCTGGTCAGAGATCTTCTGGAGGAGCCGTCTTCTTTCCTGAAGTAATTTCTCATTCTCTGCAGTGATCTGTGCAATCAGCACCTTCCCCTGAGCATTAACGCAGAAAGAAATAACCACCAACAGTTACACTTCTCTAGTCTCTGTAAATTTTACAGTGCTTTACCAAAAGGGTCACCATCAAATACATTTGCTCCCAGAAGAGCATTTGATGTCACCCACCCCAGAAAAGGACTTTTGGATCACCTCCTGGCAGTGACATTTCTGAGGCAAGAGAGCTTTGGCAGCTTCCGAATGGGATTTGAGGACACAAGTGGCCACGAGGGCAAGGAAGTCCCTTCAGGCTTTATGGCCCTTGTTCCTATAGGCACGGCCTTAGCAATGCCAACGGTTTCCTAAGGCAGCACCAGTCCCATGTGCAGAGCAGGAGCAGCGTATCAGGCAGAGCTCTGCATCCTCAGACAGTCTGGCTCTTTAACAGCACAGTCCCACTGCCTTCAAACAGGCTGATCCTAAACCACAAACTACCCAGGAGCCAACAGAGACAGCTCCACACTGGAGATAATGGTGGGAATAGCAGAAGTAGAGGCAAATGTCCAAGCTAGAAAATTTAGCAGTGGCACTGAAGCTTGGAGGGTTTTGAGACAAGTCCAGCAGCAAAGGCATTTGGGAGCCAGGAGCCTGCCTCACTTGCCGGACGCTGCCTCGTCCTAGACCCTCAGTCCTCCAACTGTCCTCGCTCCCTGTAGTCCACACATGTCCAAGCACTGTCGCAACGACAGAAGCCTTTGTCCCTTTCAAGGAGGCTTGTTATGAAAAATGGTTCTTATACAGCCAGCTCTAAATATTGAAGACTGCTGCCTGGTACTGCAGGACAGGCTCCTCTCTGCCACAGGAGCTCTGCCAAGCTTAGCCCTAAATGCGATAGGCAACTCCCCCACCTTTTGGAAGAAGGGATCTCCCTGCAGACACGCTGTAGGCACCTCCTCCCATCCTCCCTCATGGGGGAAGCCCTGTCATATGCGTTCTCACCTTTTCCACTTGGAGCTTTGACTCGCTGAGCTCACTTTCAAGCTGCTTAATTTTACTGTCCCTTTGTTTCACCTCATAGATAAACGTCTCCTTCGCTCTGCGGATCTTGTCTTTGTGGCGGAGCTGCATTTCGTTGTATTTCCTGAGGAGGCACAAACATCAGGCCACAAAATGCTTTTGTCTTCTGGGTCAAGAACAAAGCAGATGTCCTGCACTTATTCAAGCCTGTCACAGCCCAAATTGGGAACCTCCAGAATCTACCAAGCTCCTTTTGGCAGTGAGGCTAAAGGCAGAACGAGCACACTGACATTCTGGATTATGTCTTTCACAGCTGGGTCGGACCAGTTTGGGTGGGTGTTTTTGTAGTGAGGGTTACACTGTTGAGTTACAGCATCAACCAAACAGAAGTCGACTGAGGGAAGAGGACCCAAAGCATTCCCAAAATTGACTCCCAGCTTTACAAATCCTTTGACCTAAATACCTAATAAGGGTATCCTAAATACCAAATAAGGGTATGAATCCACCAAAATTGGGAGCAATGTGGAAAAGGTAAACAGGGGCAGGTTATTTAGTTGGAAGGGGAACACTTAGGGGGGAAAAAAGGGAATACGAAGGGAAGCAAATCATGTGACGGAGGCTGCTCAGGTGTACTATCGGGCAGCCCGGTTCCTGACCGTCACAGCTTGGAGCAGGACAATGAACCTGTTGTTGTTCCAGCCAGGCTTGTGTGCAACTTCCTTGTGCAGGCAGGGGAGAGCTGTAGTGCTTTCCCTAATGCTGGCAAGGCGACACCCAGAGGGAAAGGACTGGATTTCCTATCTTCCTAACAGCTACCTCAAGACCTGCAACACTCCTCCAACTCTGCTTTTCATCTCATTTACTTACTGCTTCGGGTTAACATTCAAATAACAGGCTTCTATAAAGGCCAGCAGTACCCTCACAGTCACAGGTAGGAAACAGCCAGGGTGCTGAATCCAGGACAATACAACCTATCAGCCAAGAAAATCAGAGCAGCAGCACACGCCCCAGACCTCACCTGTCCCCACCTTGCTACTGGTGCAGCCTTACAAATCAAAGGTTTTTACAGGCACTGTAAAGGATTTGGGGTCCTAAGAAGGGTCCTAAACAGCACACGCCAGGCAAAGAGAACAGGTCGCAGAAAGAGACCGCTGCTTCAGTGAGCGCTTCTGATAGCAGTGACACTTCGGGGTTAAATGTTTGTCTCTATTGAGACTTGTGACCATTGCTCTTTTCCTCAAACACGTCTCATTTAGGTAGGAAAGACATGCTCTCATTTTTTTTTTAATCCTGGGAGAGTCAGGATAGAGGGGAAAATCACATCAAAAAAAGAGAAGCCTCTTCCAAAATTAGGGACATTTGCACGTTTGCTCAAAACTCACGAGCAAAAAGCTACGGTGCTTCAAATTAGATCCAAAGAGTGCTGGGGAGAAACGAACAGTTCCACAAAGCCAAATGCAGCATCACCTCTTAGAACGCAAAGAGCAACTCTTGGATAGTTTTTTTTTCCTTCCTATCTCCTGCTGCTTCAGTCATTACCTGACATACAGATCCTTCTGGTTCAGGAGACTGACTCCTTCCTCATAGAGGGCTTTGTTTTCCTCCTTCAGCAGTGAAAGCTGCTCTGAAAGCTTCTGGTTTTCCTTGTGACACTGGAGATGCTGAAAAATAATTTTTTTATTTGCGTGCGTGACATCTCTAGGGGCTCTAGACCTCCTTTCAGTCTGGTCTTAAAAGCTTCTCTGTCGTAAATCCTAGTGTTCCCCGCTACAGGTAATATCCATCTATTCCACTCTCCATCCTCAGTGCACTCTCGCTAAGGCCATCACCTCCTCCCCAAAAAAATGGAGGAATGTGAATTTCTGTGCTGCTGGGGAGTAGCAGGCTTCGACAGGGCAGACAGTGGTAATACATCCTTGCAGACTGTGGACTCTGCTGACATTCTCCTGCAAAAAGCTCTGTGCTCTGCAAGAAAAGGGGATGGCCTCTTCTCCTTTCCCTTTTCTCCCTTGTAGGCCTTCTTTCCTGCCCTCTGAGCTGCATCCCCAGGAAACTTACTACAGATGGGATGGTGCTCTTCTGCAGCTCCTGTTTAAATCAGTGGGATTTGCAAGGGCTCAGCACCTGGCAGGTTTTGACCCTAACTCCCCAGTTCCCACATACAGATTTCATACTGCAGTGTCCCATTTTCCAGCACAAACTGCTCCCTAGAGCTCACTGGTCTGCTCTGGAGCCAGCCTCTAGCATGGCATCACTTTGAGTGATGGGGATCCATCTGCATCCTGCAACTCACCTCGCTTGAGTCTGTTTTCCTCTCGTCTTCTAGGACGTGCAGAGTCTTGGCCTGCAGCTCCACGTGCATCTTGGCCAGTGATGCCTCTGTCTCACGCGAGTGCCAGAGCTGCTGCCGCAGCTCCTCCACCTGCTGCTCCAGCAGCTTCCTAAGAGCACGTTTGTGTGACAGTGAGAAACTGTGAGCCAGAGGCCAGGCCACGACCTGCCACCATGAGTTCGAGGCTGCCTCCTGACAAGGCTGTGTGTTAGGAGAGGTGATGAGACAGTCGGACAGGCTCAGCCTTTCTTGCTTGCGGGTGGCCACACATCAGGGTAAAGCAACGGTCTAAAAACAGCCTCACACTGGGCAGCATTGGGGGGGTAGAAAGAAATCGCTACCTACTGGATGCCCCCACGTATCAGTGCAATGTCAAATGCTGCATGCTGCATCCGGCGACATCAATCCCAGCATGAGCACAGCTACACAAGAAAGGACACTGCTGCCATCTCCAGGGTAAACAATCACTGAACCAAATTACAATGCTGGCAGGAGGGGCCACGCACCCTCTGAACCAGCTGAAGTCTCAAAAAAAAAATCACTTACATTTTATAAAAAGAGAATATCGTAGGGCTCTGCTCCCGCACCTAACAGCGCACGTGTCACTGCAGGTCAAAAGGAGGGGTGGGAGGCATAACCAGTGGTGCAGCGATGCCTTCAGCCCAACTAAGAGCTCCAGGAGGTAGCTGGCAGGTTGGCACAGAAGTGTTTACTGGCATGCACCTTCCCTCCACACATCTCACAACCCGCGCCCAGCTCTAGGTACCTTTTCAGGCGTTCCTCTTGGAGTTCTTGCTGCACTCGAGCTTCATTTTCTCGGGCCTCTTTCAACTCCTCCTCCAGGAGTTTCTTGTCCGAAACATGGGCATCTGCCAGAAGGAGCTGGTGTTGTGACTCCTTCAGCTTTTGCTGGAGCTTTGAGATCTCGGGTCAAAATTGGGCACAGATTAAACTTGCTGAACTTACAGACCAGTATTTGAAACAAAGGAGTCAGGGAAATGAAAGATCTGCTTGCTTCTGCTCAGGAGCACTTATTTCTGTGCGTCTTTGCGTCACAGTCCATTAGAAATAAAATCTTTCCAATGACTGTCAGAGTTCAGATCAGATACTGCATCATGAAGTAGCAACAATCCTTTTTACACTTAATTTGATCCTGTACGCTTCAAATCCAAAAGATTCCAGTGAATGGTGCAGGGATGTGGCAGAATCAATGCCAAGGAAAACATAAGCTTTTGTAATTCACCAGATTGCCATAAACAGCAAGCATCCTCATTAAGAACAATATGACCCAGGCCGCCCAAATCTGTCAGCCCAACTAGCAGCATACTCGGACATACTGAATTTTAAAGACAAGAGTTGAGGCATCAGTTTTGCATCCTACTGTATTAATTATGTTCCCGCTAATAGCAGACATGCTTCCCAAAACATTTAACTAACCTCCCAAATGATCTCAAACTAGCAAAACACACCTCAGAGCACTGATTCATGAGCTGACAGTGCTTCTCTTCCGTTCTGAACAATGGCTGCATGTGACTGCTAAAAACATGATTGATGTTAACGTACTCCAGGTTGACAAGTTACCTTTTTTTGTGCTTCGCATACTTTGGACTTCTCCTGTGAAAGTTTCTCTTGCAGACTGCTCTGCAGTGTATCAGCCTGGGAGCACTTCAAGAGCTCTTGTTCAAGCTCTTTGACCTTCTGCTGGCTTTTTTCCCACTGTGCTGAGAGAGACGAGCACGTTTCAGTTGTGTCCAAAAGTTTTGCACGGGCTTGCTTCAGCTCAGCTTTGACCTGAATTTGAAAGAAGAAGAAATCAAGCTTGCACTTCAATATACAGCATCTAAAATGTCTTGCTCAGGAAAAGGGCAATAGGATTACCAGACACTGGACAAGAGTAAAACAGAAATACAGGGAGCGAATACAGCATGTTTTATTTGGAGGCAGTCCAACTCCCACTGAGCAGAGGCAGAGCACATTTGAGAGCCTCAGGTACTGTATGATCAAGTTTTCTTTGAAAAAATTAACTGGAAACACTGGAGAGAGAGTGAGATAGTAACAAACTCAGAAAGTCACCAGTGCTGATGAGAGTGTAAATGAGCCCAAGCCTGCTGAAATCAGCACCTCAGACCTCCTATGGCTCATAAAATGAAGTGATGCTTTCCTCAAGCAGTCCTGTCTGCTCTGTTCCTACCTTAGT